CCTATATGATGAATAGATGTCCTATCGACTAACTGTTTGTTTCCTTCAAAAACAATGTCACTGAAAAACAAATCTATAACTTACATTGACATCAAGAGTAATACAAAACAGCATGTACACCGTTGAACACGTGTAAATCGTGTTGATGGTGGTCTTGAAATAACTGAAAACCATAGATGTCCATCGGACATTGAATAGTATGTCGTTTTCGATAATAAATAAGCAAATTCAACTTTTTGTGCTTCACCTGCAACAGGTATCACACGATCAATCTACACATATTCATATAAAATTTTTCTTATAATTAAATATTTCCTTTTTTCTCAATTAATTTTACCACTCCATCATCTTTTTCTACAGCAAACCATTCTTGACAAATAAAATGATTTTTTTCCATTGTTTGTAAATCTCGTACAATAATATATTTAAGAAACCATGATGCTTCACTTCCTAAACCTGAATTATCATGCCAAATACGCATATAATTAAGTCGACCAAGTGACCTAAAAATAAACAATAAAAAAAAGATTTATCTCTATTCGTTTTTCATTAGTTTGCTAATATATATCTAACTTACTTTGGCACAGCCATAATAAATGAATCGATACTACCACGTTGTAAAATTTTTCTGTGTGGATCTTCAAAAGTACGTACACCTGTTTCTTCATCATCACCAGAAATAACAAAATGAACCTTGATTAAAATAACATTTATTTGTTATTAATGAAAAAGAAATAGATTATTTACTTTGGACTTTGTTCCTGCATCTTTTCTGAAACCAGTAAATACAATAATTTGATAATAATATTTATCATTTATAAGATTATCTGGTAATGGAGTAACACCAAGCTAAAAAGATAAATATTTGTAGAATAAATTCAATATCTAATTTTTATTTTTTCTTACTTTTTCAATATCTTTTTTATCTTTATATCGAGCATAAATCATAAATAAAATATAAAATATCGCTAAAAGTATCATTGTTAAGTAAATTGCCTTGTTTTTTGAAAAATCAGCATGAGCAAATACATAATTCCAATTAATTGGCGCTGGCAAAACAATCCATCCACCTGCAAATGTGGTTAAATGACTGGTATAACATTGTGTTTGTCCATAACTAGTTTGTGAACCAACCTAAGACAAGCATTTGATTTTTTTTTGCTTTCATAATTTTAGGGCCAAAATGTGTACCTCACATGTGTTCTTTATCTTTATTATACTAATGCAAAATATGCTAAGTGAAAAATCTCTATTAGACTATAGTTGTTGTCTTAGAATAATCGATCACCAGAGAAATGATCTGTCATATTTAGTTTTGCATTCTAAATAGAGCCTTTTGACTGATGGTTTATGTTTTGTTGTTATTAGCTCGTAGTTTTTTCTTTATCATTTTTCACTTTTCTAAATTAGAACATTATTATTATTATTATTCTAACCATTGATTAAACTGACAAATAAACTTGTTGTACATGTCCATTATATCTGCAGCAAGTCTCAATGCACTTTCATATATCTCGATAGGTTTGGAAAAACTTATATTGGCTATTTTCTAAAGTAATAACTTGATCAGTTCACGTTTTTTTTATGTTGATCGTATAACGACTGAGACAAATCGGAACATTCACAAACGTATTTCAGCCATTCGGATTTCGAGAATGACTTTGGAATCTTCTAGAACAGTCTAACGAGAACCTTCTCAATGGTACCCTTCAGATTTTAATCATTTTTTTGTTTACAGATGCTACATAGTCTTCTAATAAAATTCTAACAGGATTTGAATTCTTATTGATATTTGACTTAGCTACCGAACTTTTAATATGTCAATTTTCTATAGATTCCAAGTTTTCGAAAAATCGGAGGTTTCTAGAAAATAAGCCTATCAAAATATTCGTCAGCTTCGTCGAATTTCCATAGGAACTCTAATCTTTTTAAAGTTTTTACTAGAATACTATGTACTATCTACAGACAAAAAGTCATTGAAATTGGAAATAGGCAGTTGAAGAAAGTCTTTCGTAAGCTGGATAAGGAATCCAATGTCTGTAGTCCTTGGTTGCTATGGAAATGAATCAAATGATCGTTTGAATTCTTTCTTACCCCATAGTTGCTAGAAACTAGGAAAAGGAAATCACAGAAACATTGATTTAAACTTATATTCACTATTTTCTTGAAAAAAAATGTGTTGGTTTTACAAAAGAAACTATAAACTTACTACAATATCTTTTGTTTGCCAATAAGAATTTTTATCAAGATAATAACAAGCTGATGTATATGCACGTATGTGATAATTTGATGTAAAATTAATTGCTGTATCCGTTACTGGTGACATTGGACTTGATAGACTTGCATTATTCGAACAATATGATTGAAATTCTGTTGAATTTAATTCACGAATACCAAATATAACATATTGATGATTGACAGTTCGAGTATTATCAAGAAAATATGAATATATATAACCATCATTAACTGTCAAAATTTGAGCTAATAAAAAAACAAAATAATGAGAAGAAAGTTGTTGAAGTAATAAAAAATATTTTTATTTACCTGCTGGACAAAAAATTTTATATCCATCTGTTTGATTCATTGTACTATTAAGTATTGGAACAGCATCAAAACGAAAAATAAGCATATAACCAAGTGATAAATTATCGGATTTAAATTCAAATGTTGCTGATAAAGTTAAACTTTTTGTTGAACTTGTTATATTAATATAATAAATTGAAAATTGTCGATTATTATTTTCTTTTGTTAATTTTGTTTGTCCAGTAACATTTTGTAATGTCATTGATGGTAAAAGTAAATTTGGATCACGTGGAATTATTATTTCAATTGGTGTTGGAAGATTATTCAATGGTATAGTTGTTCCATTTGAATCGAATAAACTTAATGATACACTTCGGGACATATTTATATTTGTTTGTGTACGTCCATTATAACCAGCTGTTGCTGAAGGTAAAACAACAGACTAAAACAAAGAGAAAAGAGAAAAAATTCAAAAAGAGAAAAAAATGTAGATCATCTTACATTAATCGTAATTGCAGTACTATTTGAACAAAATTCATTTTGAAATAACAAACTACAGTAGGATAATGTTGGTAAATTAATTTGAGTACCAGCAGCTGGCGGAATAGTAAAAGAGTCTAATTTGTCTATTCTTCTTTTTTCAGTCTTCATCAATATTGAATTTGAACTTATGACATTCGTCTGTCCGACATTCATATGATAAGTAAGAGTACTAACAGCTTTTGATAATACATCTTCAACTTGTCCAACAATGTCATTTGAACCTTGTTGTTGATAATATAGATTTCGATTTTTTTGTATTGTTTCCCATGAAAAATCATCTCCATCAGCAAATAAATTTGGATTTGACCAAACAGTTTCAATATCAGTTTCATAATCTGGTGGTAACATATTCGCTCGATCATAATCCAAACTAAGAGCAATACCACGTTCCAGTAATGGTGTATTAACAGCTACAAGAATATTACTTGCTACTTGAGCAATAGACTCAACTGCCATTTTTACATCTTCATACGATACGGTATCAACCATATCATATAATGCGTTAACTAAATCACTAGATTTTGATACAGCAACTGTCTATTTATTTAATAAAAAACAAAAGAAGTAAACGTTTCTTTTTTTAACATAATAAAAAAGATAAACATACGAGTGCTTGTCGAGTTAATGCTGGTGTTGCTTCGGTTAAATGATTCATTGTTGATGCTTGAAGTTTAATACTATCAATAGTTGTTATTGATAAATTACATATAAATTGTATAGCATAATCTCGAACATTAGCGTCAGCATTTAGAGCAGCTGTATAGGATGCTAATGCTTCACTTGTATTTGCTGATGTATTTGTTGTTGGCATAGCCTATAAAAAATATGAAAATATATATCGAAAAAAAAATGATTCAATTAGTTTGTTTGAACTAACCGAAGGTGATACAGATAAACCGGATACATAGAGATTTTGTGCAGGTAAATTTTCTATAATAAGAAAAATATCAAATACTATAAAAACTTATGAAAAATTTTATTTCTCTAAACCTGATATTGCATCTGTTCGTGCATTGGAACTCATGGAATTAAGTGTTTGTGATAAAGATAAAACTAATTGACTGGCCATATTTTGATCACCAGCATAGAGAATTTTTTCAATTGGATCATTAGTACGACCTTGTGTTGATGATTGTTGTGTTATTTCAATAAAACTTGTTAATGATGTATTATCCGGAATGACCTTACAAATAGATATTTATAAGTTATAAAACGAAACAACGAAGAAATATATTGAAATTCTTACAGCAACAGTTGGAAGAGTAAAAGAAGTAATAGCTCCATAAGTATCACGAATTTCAGCTGTTAATTGAAGTGCATAGTTGGCATTTGAATCACCAATAGGTAAATATAATGCCACATTAGTTAACGTTGTAAAACCGATAGGAATTTGAATATTATTAGTTGACGTATATGCTAGAATGAATAATATTATTGAAATAGTTGTTCATTTACAGAAAATATTAATGATTTCTTAGGATTTGTTGCACAGATCTTAGTTATTCAAACAAAAAAAGAAGTCGATTGAATTGAGAATTTTTCTCAATAGTACCGCAAAATGAGTTTGTTTTTTGTTCAAAATCATTTGATAACAACATTCGAACATCATACTATCGATACTTGTAGCATGTTTTTAGCAGCTCAAATTTATAGTTAACTGAACCCACGTATTCTTTGATGGAGAAATTTTCAAGTTTGAATCCTGAAAGGTTTAGTCATAAGTAACAAATGTATTTAGAGCTTATAGATTGAGTTTGAATTCGAAGATTTTGGCCTCTATTGGTTCTAGATGATTGGAATAAAAAATAATACTAATTTAATGTTTATCATAATTCCAACACAACATCCCTCGTTAGCTATCAAATTTTATCAAAAAAGTGATTTCATTTCTCTTAAAGATATAATAATGTCGTTTAAGAGTTTCTTAAAAATGTGTATTAAAAACAACATTTTATTCTACACTAAGCTATACAGAAAACTGGAAAAGTTTCTTATATATTTAACTTTGTATATAAACATTCATTAATAATAAACCTACAATGATTTTGTATTTTATTGTATATTAGCATTAGTATAAATATACATACATACCGTAAAATGTATAATCTCTGACACCATCTGCATCGAACCAATTCAAACATGTAAATTGAAAAAGTGTCATAGTTGTTCCATTTCTTCGATCGGTAGTACATGTACCATTTTGTGGTGGTGAATTAATCAGAAATCTTATAGCACCTGCACCAGTTGCTACACCATTACTTGTTGTTGCAGTATAGATGGCTTCAAATTTCCAATATAGAACTGATGGATTAGTTAAAAATAATGTATTTACTACCGTTAAATTCTTTGTATTTCGGCCTTAAAAAGAAAAAAAACCAACAAATCATTAATACAAAATAATTTCTTTTTGTTTCTAACCATAGAATAGTGAGCCATCATATGCACTCATATTTGTATATAAAATCCATTGCATGTCATTATTTGGATAACCTGTTGTAAAACCATGATAAACATTCCATTGAATAACAATATCTGTAATATTATCACAATTATCGATACAATAAGATGTTAGAAGAGCTTGTGTAGTCGGATTGATACGTTGATATTCAACATTTGCTGTACACATTCTAATAACACATCTAAAGAAAAAAATTTTAATTAAATTTTCTTTTCCAATAGTGTTCATTTTTTCAATCTCACTCGACAGATATCAAAACAGAATCAACTTCTTGAATTTGTACTAAAGCATAACCTGTATATTTAAGGGATGCATCATAAATATTTGTCAGAATAGCTTTAAATTCATATGATCGACCAGATTGTAAGGCATATGGTTGAATATAAAGAATTGATTGATTATTATTTGGTCCATATGTAAAAAGACTTGTATTGCCTAAGAAAAGAAATCGATATTTAAAGTAATAATAAAATCAAATTTTTGAAAAATATTTCTATAAAAATGTATTAGTAGATTTGACATTCTACTTGATTAAATATTAATATTATCAAAAGTCTCACATGAACTAATGTGCAATAACCATCACTTTATATATGGTTTCTTGTCTTTTGAATTTTATCGGAAAGATTAAGTTAATTCTAGTTCTATAAAATCGTTTGATATACTCAATATTTTGTTTAATAACGATAGTAGCAATGTCAAAGACTATATTGAGCAATACCTATTATGTGTTTGTAAAAATAAATCAATTTTTTTCGGATCATGTGTTTATCTTAATATTGATCGCTTTAATTACGATACAATTTATGATGAATTTATTTGTTATAGAAAAAAAATTAATTAAAAATTTAATGATATTTCTTTGATATGATGGATAAAACACCAAAAAGAGGATTGTCAAAAGATGAAAGAATAGATGGTTGAAAGAAAAAACTGATATCTTTTTAGACAATGTGAGATTTATTTAGAAGATTTGCAGATTCGTTCATTTCTTTGATTTCATACATCGGAGTGTAGAAACATAAAATATGTTTTCCTAACAGTTTTCAAATAATTATCTTTTTATCTTGAAAATAAGCAAGTTTTCGACTGTTTTTTAAGCACATATCTCAAAAGAGTAAATTTTCGTCAGAAAAATCACAATTGAAATAATACTTCAACGTTTGATCTTTCATAAAAGACATGATTTTTTTTTCATTTGGCACCTTTTCCTTTGTCAAAAAGACTTTAGATTATTTCTGATATCATCTAGTTGCAAAATAGATGTTTTTTTTTTGCTTATACTTCTTTGATCGCATATCCCAGAAGTCTTGAAAGAACTTTATTGTAATCGATTGCTTTTCTTGTCTATTTGAAAGAACATGTGAAGCTACAGTACCTGTTTTTTTTTGAGCAAAACCTTCTTATTATTAAAAGAAAACAACACTTCTATAAATAGATGACCTTTTCTCGGACATGTTCTTTCAAATAAGAAAAACTAAATTGAAAATATCATGCGATTTGAATGCATCAGATCCGCGATCGATTTTTGTTAGGAGAAGGATTTAATTAAAATTACCCGGTGCATTGAAGCACGATGGATTAGCTGGATCAATAAGAGTCGAATCAATGGTTATTTCCTCTCCATTGAAACTTGGATATGAAGCTTGTTGATATATACGACAATAATATTTAAATGTCCAATTCTACAATCAAACAAACATTTTTTTAACAATAATTAAAAAAACAAAAAAAAGCATAGCTTACTTCTGCATTAAAATAATTTGAATCGGGATCGATTGAATAAACACCTGGTTGAAATAAAAGACTCTGTGTTACTCCCTTTGTTATCATTGATGTTCCATCGACAAGTAAATTAACTCTTATATCTGATGGAATAATTTTTATGTAAGTATAAGCTGATGTTAAGACATCTGTTTGTGAATTCATTGAAACAGTAAAATTAAATAAATATGTACCTATAGGTAACATTTGTGATCGAATATAAATTTCTGATGTTGTTGCTGAAGATAACTGAGATATTAATTGAGTTAATGTTTGTGTTTGATAACATTTTTCTGTATCAGTATTACATTGTAATATATTCCATTGTTTTGTATTATTTAATGAACTTGAACAATTAAAAATAATTTGTACTGCTATGGAAAATGCTTGACTACATTGTATACGACGTGCCCAACGCATTACAGGATTATAAATATCAAATTGTACTAAGGGTAAATTACAACCATCAGTTGATAATGGAAATGAAAAAAAATATCGTGAACTTATTGTTGTCATACGATTCCATGCATAAGCATATAACCATGCATTAGAACTATTAAATGTTCGTATAAATAAAATTGATGAATTTTCATAAACAAATGGTTGAATTGGTAATGAACATGTTTGTAATGTCGATGATAAATCAGATGGTAATGATAAACATGATAATGAATTACCATAACATTCATTTATATTATCTGAATATTGAATATATAAACAAGATATTGATGAAAAATTTTGATATGTAGCTAGAAATGGTTTTGAAACATTCATTGGAACAAGAATGTTTTTATCACTTATTGTTAAACCAGCAATCATTGAAAGAATAAAAATATCTAATGAATACGTTGCTGTATATGATGGATTACGAGTTCTTACTTCAACAGTATATAAACCGTCCTTGAATTAAAAACAAAAAAACATCGATATAATTTTTGATATTTAATCAATTAATTTTAACTTACTATTAATAGAGGATTACTTTCAAAATCAATCACTAAACGATATAATGGTGAACCTGTAGTTATTCCAACAATTTCAGATACATTTGTTACTTGACTTATTGTAAATGTTTCATTAAATACAATATTAGAAGTATTTTTAAACAGAATATCAAATAATTCAGGAACACCACCTTAAAATAAAAATAATTTTAGCACAAACATACAATTTTATATTTTTTTTTATTATTATTATTTACTTGGATTTGTCCATGTTACATAAATAACTAATTGACTTTGTTTAGGTATATCATAAGATCCACTATTTAATGTTAAATTACATATATCATTTAATGAACTTGTTAATGTTGGTAATAAATAACAAACAGTAAATGCATAATTATCAAATGGTGCATTAATACCCATTTTAATTATTTGTGTTATTGATGAAACACGATTATAAACAGTAAAATTCACTAAATATATACCGGGCGAAAAAAATGTATAATAACCATTATATGGTAATGCAACACTAATAACATTATTTGTTGCTAATAGACTTGTATCATTATAATCAATAAATAGAAGAGGATTTGATGCTAATGGCATACTTAAATCTCGTACATTAATTGATATTGTTGTTGGAACTATGAAAATATTAAGTTTAATTTGGTTTAGCTTTGTTTTTTTTCTATAAAAACTTACTTCCACCGTAAATAAGTTGCCTTGGAGAACCGGTAATACTTGTAAAATTTACAATAAATCCTGAGACAGGATATTGAACGTCAATAGAAAAGTTTTTTGTCACAGTATTAAGTTGACCTTGAACTATAATTGTTAATAAATAAGTACCTACTGATGTATAACGATGAGATTGTGTCTCGGCTTGACTAAATTGAGTTGCTAGAAAATATTATTATGGATTAGATAAAATGAAAATTAAGAATTTTATTTATATCTATATATATATATACGATAGAAACAAAGAAGTGTTCAAAAATATCGAAAGTTGGTAAGATAAAACAGATCCAAGCTATGCATAATTTATCATAAATTTAATGATGAATGAGATTATTATTATTAGAAATTAAACAAAACTATAAAGCTAGTGTTTAATTTCAATGAATAGAAAAATAGAGAACCTCTAATTGAAAATGCAGTAACTAGTGATGTGTGGGATGAAATGGCTTTAGTCTCGACTCCACCTTAGAGAAAACCATTTCAGAATTTACGCATATTAAATTTTTAATAAATCATAAAAAATTTATGTTTTGAAAAATCTATCTGAAGAATGTCTGTTTTTTGGCCGTCTCTCTTGAATTTCGCTTAGATTGATGTGATTTATAACATAATTCTCTAAAAAAACCATAGAAAGCTATTAGCACAATCTCTACATGATGAAAATATGAAACACGATGGAGCTACTAATATTGTAGACGATGGAATTAATCAACATATGTTAGGGTTTATTAATTCTTACTTATTGTTAATTCATGCCGATGATGAAAGATATTAAACGCAATGTATTGTAGTGAGTGACAAAGAACAATAAAGAATAATTATCATACTAATCCCGTAGTAGAATTTCATCTCGCGTTTATATCGGTCACGGTTGGTGCTGGTCTCTTTGTGATGTTGTGAGAAGCTTAAAGTTCTACCTCTATGCTTCAACACTTGCTTTTGACCGAATCTTACAAAAATTTAACTACAATTTTAAGCTCTGATTCGAACAACTTTCTGTTTCATAAGTCTGGCCTTATTAGATTTTTATTTTTTTGATCCTGCACATCGTTATTAATAACCAAAACTATTCTTTCTCATATCAGAACATATCTTGTGTAATCTAACTTATGCCGAAGTGGCAAGAACTTCAATCTTTGTTTTTTCTCTTCGTTAAGTTATTTTTATTTTATTCTATCAATAGATAAGTCAATATAGGAATATAGATATGGAACATGAAAATCTCAGAAAACTATAATTCACTAATTAGTTTGTAAATGACGAAACCGAGCCATCAATGAATATAGAACAGAAAGAAATACTACGATGCCAATGTGTGTAAATTCTGTACCTGTTCTTGTTCTAGAAATAATTGTACCATCACCAAAATTCCATGTTATCACAACCGTGCCTGGATTTGGATCACCAATATAAACTGAAGCTTGAAATGGTATTGTATCGTTCAATGGCCAATTTACTGGATTAATCGAATAATAAACTTGTTGAAGAATTGATACAACTTGTACAATACAACTAACATTTGTTGAATCAATACTATTACTAACTTGAAAAACAGCTGTATAATTTCCTATAAAAAAAAAATAAAATAAAATACGAGTTTATGGCTATATATATGTTATTCATTTGACTTACCAAGTGATGTATAAATAACATTGAGTCCATTTGAAGTTATTGCTGGTGATGCAAAATAATTAAATGTTAATTGAAATGGTCCTTGAGTAACTGTTGGTTGATTAATTGAATCAGGTATAATAATAAGCTGTGCATTTGAAGCTGGTTTAGATATTCCATTTGTTGATTGAATAACAAATGATGCAATAGCACGATTATCAATAAAAGCAGCTACACATTGACTTGATGGTATTTGTAAATTTGTTACAACTTCAATTGGATTCACTGATGTTGTTAATGTTACTGTTAAATATTTATACACTGTACTAATAGCATTTGTAAAAGCAACAATAATTGTTAATGTACCAGGAATTTGAAATGTATGATTTGTATTTTGACAATAATTCCATATATTTGTTGGATAATCACCATAATATTGACATATAACTGAATTATTAGTAAGTATATCACCAAATGAAAATAATATATCTATATCTGAACCTGATTCCATTGTATATTCAAATAAAATAGGACCTGGAAATGATGTATTCATAACTGATGATCGTATTTGAGGATTAACTATAGGTGAAACAATTGAAAATATATTAGATAGATAACTTGATGATAAATAATTCCATGCATAAATTTCAACAGTATAATTCATTGATGATAATTGACCAGGAAAATAATCTGTTTGAACAAGATTATATTGTTCATTATATGTATAATTAACTTGTGCACCATTTACAATGATTTGAAATTGTGGTGCTGTTCCTTGAGCTATGGTAAAATTCAAACGATAATTTGTATTTTTTGCTACGCCATTTTGTTGTAATTGAAGACCGACAATTGGATATTGTACATAATGAATGAATGAATATGATGCATTACTCATTGCATTTTGACAATGAGCGAAAACCTAAAGTATAATTTAGATAAATTATCTATTTGAATTGTATGATATTATTATTTTATTGTTCAAATCATATTAGTCATATTCTTTTTTTTTTGTCTTAAACTATTGAATACAGAATCAAGTGCTATATTCGATTTTTCAGCTAATTTAAAGTGTAATTTGCCATAAGTATCATTATTATCATTAATTTTTTCTTTTAAGATAGCGTGATATTGGTATGCCTTTGTTTTCTCCGATATGTACAGTTTTGAATACATAAGTCAAATATAATGAAGAGAAAGAGGCAAAGAAAAAGAATTACATATGTGTTCATTTAAAAGAGTTTAAAATAGCAAGCGGGACTGTAAAAATAATGTTTAGGTTTATAATAGAAAGATATTCAGTAATAGATTTCATTGTATATTACAATATAATATTGGAAGTTCGTCGGAAGTGAACATGAGTAGAAACAAAAACAACAATAAAAACGATTCTATTTCGTTCTGAATGAACCTTAGTTGTTATGGCTAAGTGGCTATGTTTTTCAGCACGTATCGACAAAGTATCATGTGCTAACCTGAGAACCACCAGCTATGAAATGGCCCAGGGCAAGTTACTAAAGGCTATTTGTCTCGTATCATTTGCCTCATATCATTCTCATTACATTGTGACTTATACATACTCTTGTAGTTAGTTAGTATGTATGGAGAGCTCAAGTAATTGAACGCAGAAATTCTGTGCTAGACAAGTTTTCTTTTCAGAACTACAACTAATCATAGCTGTAGTGAAGACACTGGACTCTTAAACCTACCGCTGGACAGTATGTCAAATCGCAAGATAGCTGAAAGACAAGGGTATTGCTCTATGAAAATATTGTTTGTACTTTTGAAAAATTGATTTCAATGTATCTAATACTACTCGAAGAATATTTGTCACGATGATATATTATAAACTTGACTTACATTATATTCTCCTGGTAGTAAATATTGATGAGTAACATAACTTCCAGGGATATAACCATATGTATAATAATAAAGTCTGCTTACTAATTGTGATGTATCATAATTAATACGGCATGCATAATTACTACCTGTAGTCATTCTTATTTGAAATTTTGCTACTTCAAATGGTTGAGAAGTTGAAACATTTGTTATATTACCAGCATGTAATGTAAAATTTGTTATAAAATCTACTATAGTAATTGATGTTGAATTATATTTACTTGATAGAAGATTTTTTGCTCGACAACCAATAGTATATGTAGCACTTGATGAAAATGATATATTCATTGTATTTGTTGTTGAATTTAATGTATTATTTCCGTTAATAAACCATATATATTTCGTTGCTGTTGCATCTAAATAATAAAAACAAAAAACAAATTAAATCATATAAAAATCAATATTATTATTTTGAAGATACTTACTAACAGGATATATATTTACCATAAATGTTAAAATAACATTAACACTTGCAACTGACGGTCCAATAATTTCAACCCATGCAATACCATAAACAACAGGTAATGTAGTTGATGCTGAATATGTTGTTAGATTATTTTGTGTTAATCGACCTTCAACAGAGAAATATCCAACATTATCATAAATAGTATTTGGTGCAATTTGTATTGCTTGTATTATTGTTGTTTGAAGTAAATATCGATATTGCGTACCATTTGATGATAAATTTCCAACGGTACATGTAAATGTATTATTTGTTATTGTTGGATTTATACATCGATAATCTTCAGTTCCATCAATTGAAAGACTTTTTGCAATATCTAAACCTTGAAATGCTAAAATATCACCAACAAGTGCTGTTTGATTCATCATATTTAATGATGTATTTGCAATAATTTGTTGATAATTTGTACCAGTTGTTGTTATTGCCCATTGAGCAATAATTTCAAATTGTGCATTTGAATATGTTGATTGTTGAAAGCGTTGATTTAATGATGCATTAACACATAAATAAGTTATTGTTGAATAAATATTTGTTGAACATTGTAATGAATATGGATTTGAACAATTACCACAAGTATTCGTACAATTACTACATGTATTTGTATCATAACAATAAGTCAATGGTGATGTACAACTACGACGAAGTAACTAAAAAAAGAAAACCGATACTTATAAAATCTTTTTGAATTGGAAATTATTTATTTTATTTACATAAATATTGATTGTACCAGCACCTGAACTGTAAAATTGTATTGATGATAATCGACCAGCAATAGTAATAATACTTTGAGGTAAAATAACAACATCATTTACAGTAAGTAAATTTCCTGACGAATCTATTGTCGGATTATATGTAACATATGATGAACCGAATGTGTAATATTGTGCATCTACAAGAAATCGATAATAAAAAACGTTCCTCTAGTAATCTTGAAGAATTTTATACTTGGAATATTAAAAATTGAATAAGATGGCATTGTTGAATTGTAATTGAGTTCAGCCGTTAAATCAGTACCACGTACGGATATAAAAGTACACGAAACAGTCTGCAGTGTTGTTGTTACATATGGACATGTTATTGATACATCAAGTGATGAGATTTGATCAGAAACTTTAACTGTCATTGCAGACATTATTGGCTATAAAAAAACAATATGTCTATCTCTGAACTGAATTTTGTTTTAGCCAATTTTTCTGTATAAAATGTGTGTTAAGTTGCTCTAGATATCCTGAAAAACTCAGCGTTATAGGTATTTGTTCCGCCAAGTTATTACTGAAAAACTAACGTCAGCAACATAACACAAAAAAAGAGCATAGATTTTTAATGTATACGATTTCATTTACAAATGCTGTAAATTCGAAACGTATTCTTAAAAACTAAATAGTGTGGTTTGTAGAAAACCTTTCAGACTGAGAAACCTTCATGCGAAATTCTTTCGACAATGCTTAGATTTAAAAAAATTGACTTGATTCGTTGTTAATGACATTTCAATTTCGCTAGTAACATGATTGACGAGGGAACGTTTCCAACATTTTCTTAGATCTTTTTGTATGCTGATTTTTTGAACTAACAGAAATTTTGGTAAAAATCGTTTTTTACCTACTCAGTATCATCTTGAAGATATTCACATTGTGATGTTGATATATATAGGTTGTATAAACTGCAATAGCTGTACGTTCTGCGGAAAAAGTTACTGTTTTCTAGGCAACTCGATATGTTGTATAGTGAGAGTGGATCAAAAGAAAAACTCTTGATGAAAAATTTGTTAGTTTAGAAAGCCAGCTTACAAAGTCCTAAACAGATTTCTCAGGATCATACTTAGAATCAGCATGGTCGATAACCTGTACACCACTAGCTTTCGATAAGAAAAAGCGATCGATTAGCTAAAAACGTTTCTTCTCAAGTAAGAATATCGAGAAGAAAAATCTTCTTATAACTGAATGCAAAGTCTAAACACCAGTTGTAAATGGTACAAATCCTTTTTGGTTATCTTCAGATGATAGAAAATAAATAAATAAATAGTCTTGTTCTGGATATGAGCAGATCTTTAGAAAAACCGATTTTTATGAACATTTTTTGCTGAGCATTTCACCGTTGATATAGTTTGTAGTGAGGAATCTATCCTCACATTGTTAGACTTTCTTTGCATTAGCTTAGAGACTAATTTGCTAATTACGTTTTAGATAAAATAACTATTTAGCTAATAATCTATAATTAAGTATGAGCTGAAAGAACTAATATTTTTTTATAAATGTTAAGATTAAAAGGAGTTTTTCAAGAAAAACAAGTAATAACGACGATAAATAATCGAAGTCAAATTGAAGAGAGAACGTATTGCTGTGTCAACTCATGTTTTAAATTTAACTAGAAAAGTTTTAAATGATAAAGCATGTTTTATTCTAAATTATGGTTATTTTACTGGGTTTATAGCGTTATAATCAAAAACGTTATTTGCATGTTGTCTAAATGATTTTTCAAATTATTGTGGAAGTTTGAGACGAATGGTATGACTTGAGTTTATCAGACCGTTTTGAGCAATTTAACAATGTAAGGAAAAAAAGAAAATATTTTACTTCGTGCTAATTTCCTTTGCCTATCATTATAGTTTTTCTATGAAAGTGCTAAGTCAATTCACACATAGACAACTACGTATAAGAATCGATAAAATCAAAAAAATAATTTTCTATTAATTTAACAAAATAAAAAATAAAAAAATAAAAACTCATTTCAAAATTTTAATTTTACCTGCATTCCAACCAGTGATCGAGCTGCCATTGATACTGAGAATTTTCCAGTTTTTGAAAAAATATGCGAAACTACTGTTGTCGTATTTAATGTTCCACTGAACCATCCCGTTTGTGTACCATCACCAAAATCAATAAGATAATTAATATAACTAACTGCACCTTGATAACCAACATCAAATTGATAATTTTGATTAATTTGTAATGCCATCGGTGCTGTGCTACCGATTAAATTAATATTTGCTGACTAAGATTTTATTTTAAATAGATCAAATGCAAAACATTAAATAAAATAAAAAACTTACATCAATAACACCAATTGATGCATAAACAAGTTCATAATCACTATCACCACAATAAACATTTGTATCACCTGTACATACATCAATTTGACATGATGTTGTTGTTGAATTTAACAATGAAATATTAGCTGATAATGAACCACAAAAACATAAACGACCAGCAGATATACTTGCATATGCATAACCAGCTGCTGAACATGCTAGCATACATGTTCCAGGTGTATTCAAATTAAAATCATAATTAGCTGGACTATATGGATAGATTCGAGATGGACGAGTAATTGCTCCACAACCTAACAGACCTAAGATTAAAAAAAATAGATCCATTATTTATTAACTTTCTTTTATTTGTATATAAGACTACTTTGTGTTTCAATTAAGACTGCTGTTATATAATTGATAAGAAATAACTTTAAAGAAAAAAAACGAAACATTATTATTAATAATAATTCATTAAATAAATCATACCGAGATCAGAACATGGTATAACCAAGTTCGATTCATCGTATTGAGAATAACTTGTTTTTATTCTATGAATATTTAAATATCAGTAGAAAACAACTTTTTTCTTTATATTAAAAATGTTAAATGATTTGTCGCTTATTTTCTAAAAAGACGATCACAACTTTTTTTTTTTCTTTGTTCCTTTTTCTTAACACTCATTTTCAAAAGTGCATGCTATAATGATGTTAGTTGATGTTGTATTTTATGAAAAAAAAAGAAATTACTTTTTGAATACTTTTAACAGTTTTTTTATATGCGCGTTTTCAAGTAATTATGTAAAAAAGAATATATATATATTGAATGTAACATCTTACTCTTCCGTTTTTGAAAAGTGTTGATGAGTGCATGAAAGAAAAATATCGAGAACCTTCTTAATGATCAGCAAGCAAAAATAATTTGAATGAAAAAAGGAGCACTTTATTCATTCCTATTTTTTGTGATTTAATAAGTATCATCAGTTAGATTTCTTTCCTTCTTTGTTACTTATTGTTTGATACTTAAAAATTGCTTTTGACAGAAAACAAAGTATATTATACTTTTCGAACATATGACGTCATTCATAAGCAAATTATAATCAACGACAGTGTTCACCATTCAAAGAAAATACTCTCAAAAACTAATGACATCAATTGATGAGAGAATCAGCTAATACATATCGTCGATTAATTATGTGTAGCATCATTTTTCAAGTTTTTGTTGAAATAGCACAAAAGATTTTTTGGCCTTTTTTTTTACTACCAACATTAGATAAATACCCGAGCCTGAGAAAAGAGACGTTTCTTCTTTTCTTTTGCAACTTATTTTCCTATTTTAGCAACTTAATTAAAAACTGCTGCGCTCCATAGGCAGGTTAACATGATATACAAAAGAATTAAATAGATATCTTGACAAACCTTGCATTTTAATCTTTATGTAGTTGCTTTTTACTACAAATAGCTATGACTTAAATGTTTGAGTACGTCTACGTTTTTTAATACATTAGTGTTTATTTACTAAGATATACATGATTCATAGTTTGTCGAAAACCTAAACTTTATTAAAATTCTAATTTTGATTGGAATCTGGTATTCATTTTACTATTTTTAAACAGGTTTTCAACAGAACATTTATATTTTGATCATCAATATAAATAAATTTATTTTTAACATATTTTCCCTATTGAAATATATCTTCTGGTTTTATTTCTTAATACTATTATTTATTTATTGATTATTGAATAATATCTTCATGAGACTTCCTTATGAATTTCATGCGAAACTATTCTTACTAAACCGATTCTATGAAACTGAAAAAGTATTTTAGTGCTTCTTTAACATATGCTGTACATTGAATTAGATATAAAAAGAATGTATCGATATATAGAATTGTCATCTTTACAGTGACTACTAAAATTATTTAACAGAGTATATTTTCCAACTTTTCTTATAACTCACACACTAAAAAGAATTCGAATAGTGCTTCAATTAGATAAAACTATTTACCAAAAGAAGATCTAAAAAAAAAACAAAATTATTAGTGAATTTCAAAAGTTAATGTCTCCAAAAAGTACAAAATCTAGGTTTTTCTCACCTAGAACGCGAAAATATCTCTTTATTCAGATTACATGATGCAATAAAGCAAATAGTTCTCTACAAAATGAAATATTCTCGAATTCTTCATGACGTTCTCAGCTTGAAATATAGCAATATAAGTGAAGGTCCCAAAATATTTTTGTTAGACAATAACCATAAAAGCGACATTAGAGCCATCCATATGATTATTATATCTCAGAAAAAAAAAGATGTTTAGAGATTTCAGGAACATCTCATATTGTAGAGAATCGTTCACTTTAACGTATTAATTAATCTAAATTAAATAATCTCTGTTGAATGACTTTGGAGACTACTCTAGCTTCAAGTATGCATTAGAATTGTTGTCTGTATGTGAATATTAGAAAAATGTTTTGAATATGCAAGAGATGTCTAAGCGCTTATCATAATTATTTTACAAGCATAATTTTGAAATTTTTATAGTTTATATTGTTTTTATACAAGGCAGAAGTTCAAAGATAATAAAAATCAAACAATATGTTCTTTGTATTTAGTTTCATTTATCATTTTCAATTTAATTTGAAATTAAAACATTGGAATTTTTTTTAACGATATTAATCAAGTGCAATGCTTATTTGAAGTGAATATTTGAAAAAAAAGAAGAACATGACCATATTCTAAGTATTGTGACCTGTTAGCGTTAACAATATAAGTGTTGCCACATCAGGTCAACAGTAGTTAAGAATGTAAAAAATATTGCCTAGTTTTTTTTTTAATAATTTAAATACAATGATAATGTTTTCATCGGCACCAAATTGTTACTATTTCAACATCTAAATAATTCATCTTTTTCTTTCATAAAAGAAAACCTATTTTATATACCCTGGGCTTCAATTCGTCCTATAATTTCAATTTTTTTTGAAAAATCCTATATTTGTATTGATTTTTCTATTTTTCCTATATTTTATCAAAAAAAAGTGGAAAAATTTTACGAGATTTGGCTTTGCCCTGAGGGGGAGTACGGGGATCTTCGCAGTGTTACCCCCCCCCCCCTCCCCGTGATCACTTTTTACGAAAAGACCAGGTAATTTGAATAGCTATTTCTTGCAAGTAAAGCACATACATTTGAGGTGCGGTTCGACGTACAATACCTAAATTTTGGTCAATTTTCTACTTTTTTTAGTGAAAATAATCGTATAATTCAGAAAACAAAATCCTATACAGAAATTCCTTTAATTTCGAAAATTTGTAATCGGAGGCCGGCATATACTCCTGATTAGCTAACAATTTCTATTTTCGTTTTTGTTCGATAGACATATTTTTTCTTTAGACAAAAAAATTCAAATAGGAAAATTATTATTTGATTTTTATTTGATTAATGATATAATAAAAGTTTGGTGTCATGATCAACAATGGAAGGATGCTTATCATAACTCAGCAATATTGAACATCTTTAGAAGAAATTCGAGATCTTCATGAAAAAATATGAACTGCTTATCACATGTTTATTTTATCATGATTGGATAGAATCTATCAAATTACATGGGAAAAGTCTCTTTTCAATCCATAGAAAACAAAATTTCAAGCGAAAAGGTCACGATACCATTCTTTCAAAACCAAGAAGAAATAGATACGAAACTTTAACTGGTGCATGATTTCTTTTTCGACATGTGAAACATATTTTTCTATCTAATTTGTCGAACACTATCTAGCCATGACATAAAGAAATACGTCATAAGCAGTTCATGTTTTGTTGGTGACACCTGTAATTTAATCGTAATATATTTAACGTTCTCGAGTTACAATACACTCTCCTTCCATTGTGTGCAAATCTTTTGATACACGACAATCAAACCCATTTCAATGAATGCAATAGATTAGTTTTATTTACGAAGAATTCTTATTAATACTCACATTTCAACTGAAACCACCGAGTGATTAAGAGCATCGTACTAACGACTAATGCAAAAGCTTTAAAATCTTTCTATAAATTGGTTTTCTATATGCAAAATACATATTTAAATAGTTGACTGAAATCTACAGTTTTGTAGAGCAAGAATAAAGCTAACATGTGACTCAGAAATAATGACACACATTTATATTTCGTGAATATCTCGCTGAACTTTGATCGTAAAGAATTCAGGTTAGACTTCAAACAAACCTCGTTAAATTCTTTACAAAACCTGTATCATACATTTTTTTTGTAAAAAGAGAAATAGAAATATGAAAACAAGAATACTCAGCATATGTAAAAGAAGCAACTTTCTAAGCTGAAAAGTCGTTTTTTTGTAGATTTTTTCGTTGGCTAGTGATGACAAAAATAAAATAATATAAGCATTTTGTAGTCCTTAAAAAACTCTATCGACCGATCTTCATTTAAATAATTTCATGCTCATCCTTGCAGCATTTTTCAATAATCTTTGTTAGAGATGTTCGATAAATTAGTTATTTCAATCTACGATTTCGGAGCTTCTGGGAAAAGAAGCATTACTGAGCTATAATAGCATCTTCTGAGTTCAGATTGTCTCCATTTTTTTGATGGAAAATAATTACTGTACCAGATTCAGCGGTGAAAGTTGAGCTGCATTCCTCTTCTTCAATTCAACAAGCAAAAAATTTCAAAATTATGCCATGGTGAAGAGGATTTTGAAAAGTCAGAATTATCGATCTTCAATTCGATTGCAACGAACGTTGAGCTACATAGTGAGAAAGAACACACTTCAAAGTACTCAAAAACATCTTCACTAATGGTTTTTTTTGTTCTCGAAATTCTAAGAAAGATTCCAAATATTATTTAAAAAATGGCTTAGCAACTTGATCCTTTTGAACGTCTTGAATATTCTTGTTGTCACATCTCTCTTTCTACAGGAAAATGTCTGATACAGATCTTCTAAACAATTCAACGAGATATGTTTGAAGTCTAACCTCAACTCTCTACCAACAAAGTTGAGTAAGATATTCACAAAATACAAAGTGTGCCATTATTCATTTCTGCACTATCCGTTATAATTATTTTCAAAAGTTAAGAAAGCTAAACATAGAAAATATTAGAATTGATACCAATAATTATCATAGTAATTTAATCCCAGCGAACCGACACTCACTGTCTTTTCTAGCAAGTATTCCATAGGAATATCTTTATTGAATTTAATCTTATAACAATGACATATACATCTATATATTTTTTATTTCGCAGAGTTTGTTAATTTTTATTTTTAAATATAAGATGATAACAAACAAAAAGGGTGAACAGCATTAAATTTTAATTTCGTTTTTTAAAAAGCTTTTCAATTT